GCTCCCGCCGAGGGTTTGGATCCCACATAGAGACCGGTCCGCTCACTGGTTGAGCGCGGTGTGGGCGCGACACCGAGGTTGCAATCCCGTTGCCGGTCACGAAAAAAGACAAAAAGGAAAAAAAAAAAAAACCTGGCCACAATTTCTACTTTTTTCATACTTCCTATTCCTCTACTGAATTTCCTCTTTATCCTCATCAAAGTCTTTAACCTTTTTAGACTTTACTTGCATCCTTATCCATCTAGGAGTACCTGTCATAATTTCAACAAAACACTTGGTAAATCATTAGAATCCCTATCCCCATGATCTTCTGACATCTTTCCAGTCCTGGGCAACATACTGCATCTACTTTCCTTGAAATCATTGAGTTGAATATACCTGGAGAAAGATACAGTCACATTCTCCACCATAAATCCATGCTACCTAACTACAGCTCATCCTTACAACCCTTCTAACTCATCTAGTCAACTCCCTAATAAATACACAGTGATAGCTGTTCCAGATCTTTTCCCACCATCAACCCCAACCCCAACTTCAATCCTCTCAGCAGATTCCTTTGCCTCATCTTTTGTGAGAATATTGAGGACTTCTAACATTCCCTCCATTTTCTTTCCTTCCCCCTCAATTATCACATTGATGTTGTAAATTAATTAAATTTTTACAGGCTTTGCAGTTTTGTTTGTATTTAATGCTATACGATTAAAAATTTTAGAGTTGTATAAAAACATAAGGTAAGTTTATATGTAAAATTTTTATTCATTTGTATATACTGAAGTAGCATTAAAATTAAAAAAGCAATTTAGTTAAGTGCCACTTCTTGACAAGGCCTTTCTATATACCTTCACTAGATGTGATTGATTTACTTCTTTGAATCTCTGTATTATGTAACTCTCTTAAAGATCAAATTGAACTCTGCCTCACATTATATCACTTTACATTTTACCACAAGTAACTTGAAGAGGTTGTATCCCTTCAGTGTTGATCATTATAACCCCTATAATACCTGAAGAGCACCTTGTGCAACACTTAGCACATAATACATGTCACATGCTTTCCTGAAGGTTGGCTGTAGAGGGCATTCTATCTACAAAGGCCATAACTACACAAAGCCTGACTGATGTTAAGCTCAGTATTCCACAAAGCTGACAGGCCTGGATCTAATAGCAGTTCTACCCATCAGCAATTCAGTGTGTAATCTTGGGTCTCATCTGAGCCTCCTTCTGCTAACAGGAAGGAGAGACACTGGTGACATAAGGCAAAAGAAGTTGCTGTAAATGGCATAGACCAATTTTGCCAATTACACCTTTCAACCCTCCCAATTAAGCTTTCTAAAGGTATTCTAATATGATGTTATTCTATTTTTTTTCTATTTTATTTTAAAAATAAAACCCTAAATAAGAGACCTTTTAGAGATGCAAAGGGAATTTCTTTTTTAAAGAGCCATTTCTCATCTTTTGCCCAAGGTAAACCTGACCCATAAAGCAAATCATGATTATGACTTTCTAACCTGACCATGTCATTTAAATGCTGAAGTTAAATTTACCTTCCAATATTTATCTCCTCTAAGCATTTTTACTGATTCCACTTGCCTAGTGACTAACCACCAAGTTTGTAGATTTTACCCCTATCTATCTGTGGAATCCACTCTCTTTATAACTATCTTTATTAATATAGACCAGTGGTTCTCAAAGTGTGGTTCCACAACCAGCAGTATTAGCATCACCTGGAAACTTGTTAAAAATGCAAATTCTTAGGCTTTGTCCTAGTAACCTGTGTTTTAATAAGCCCTCCAGGTGATTCTGAAGTTTGAGTTGGCTCTAACCTAAGCTGCCTGAAACAGTCTTAAAACTGCTCTCCACTCCCAGACTACTTCCCCTATTTAATACATACTCCATGCATATACAGATTTCATCAGTGATTTTCCATTTACTGGAGAAGTGAGTTTTCAAATATGACTCATTACAGAAGACTGTGAATTCACCCAGTAGGTCAAGACCAGGATTAATTTTTAAAAAGTAAAATTAGAAGAAAACACAAAATATCAGGATGCATCAATGTACAAAGTTTCGTTTTGTTAAACTTTTTCAAATATGGATACATATTCCTTATTTGATGAATAAGAAATGTACGTATAGTTGTCCCTTGGTATCTGAGGGGACTGGTTGCCAGACCCCCACTGACAACAAAATCTGCTTGATGCACAAATTCCTTATAAAAAATAGTGAAGTATTTGCATATAACCTATGAACATTCTCCCATACACTTTAAATCATTCTAGATTACTTATAGTACCTAATACAATGTAAATGTTATGTAAACACATGCATACTTCAAAAAGTTCAAGGAAAAATAAAAGATAATATGCCAACGTCAAGGGTTCGGATCCCAGTATCAGCTAGCAGCTCCCCCCTCCCCAAAAAAGATAATATGAATCCATGAACTTTTTGAAATACACTCATAGTTGTTACACTGTATTGTTTAGAGAATAGTGATAAGGAAAAAAAAAAAAAGCCTGTACGGTACAGCTGTAATCATACATGTTTTTTCTTCCTCAAATATTTTCAATCCATGGTTGGCTGAATCCGCAGATACAGAACCTGTGGTTATGGAACCCGTGGATATGGAGGTCTGACTGTAGTTCCTCTTATAGGTCATAATTTTATAAGTTTGAAAAACACTTCTGACAGCAGTGGTTCTCAAACTTTATTGTGCACAGTCACCAGGGGATCTTGTTATTATGCANCGTTTTGTTAAACTTTTTCAAATATGGATACATATTCCTTATTTGATGAATAAGAAATGTATGTATAGTTGTCCCTTGGTATCTGAGGGGACTGGTTGCCAGACCCCCACTGACAACAAAATCTGCTTGATGCACAAATTCCTTATAAAAAATAGTGAAGTATTTGCATATAACCTATGAACATTCTCCCATACACTTTAAATCATTCTAGATTACTTATAGTACCTAATACAATGTAAATGTTATGTAAACACATGCATACTTCAAAAAGTTCAAGGAAAAATAAAAGATAATATGCCAACGTCAAGGGTTCGGATCCCAGTATCAGCTAGCAGCTCCCCCCTCCCCAAAAAAGATAATATGAATCCATGAACTTTTTGAAATACACTCATAGTTGTTACACTGTATTGTTTAGAGAATAGTGATAAGGAAAAAAAAAAAAAAAGCCTGTACGGTACAGCTGTAATCATACAT